ATGGATTGTAACAATAAGTATAATTAAGGCTTTTCTTCCACTATTTTTAACTCAGTTTGAAACTTCAAATGCGATATAATTTTGGCTTGGACCATCTAAACTGACTGACATCAACTTGCTATAATTTCTGTTTACATTACATCGCAATTCGATGACACTCTGGCTCAGACACCAGAATGTTTTGACGATTTTAGCATTCGTTTAGGATTTTCAAACAACCTGGTCTCTTTTAAAATACTTTTAATTTGTTCTTACGTGGTTTTCCAGATGTAGTGACGACAACATTAAAGTTTAAAGAAGAAAATTCTAACATTTAAACCGACTAAACAATAACATACTAAACTTGCATAATTAAACAGCAACTAAAAATGATAGGTTTTACTAAATCTTTTCCTGTGCAATTATTACCAGCATTGGAGACAAGGATAATAGTTTGTTTGAAAGAGAAAAGAACAGGCTTTGAAGTAAGCCTAAAAGCGTTTAACTAGAAATAGTATTTCGAAAGTTATTAAGCACAAAAGATGAATTGCGTTTATTTTGATACACCCTGTAGACTAAATTTTGATCTAGACAAAAATTTCATCACAGCTTGAAAGAGCATCACAAAATTAGTAATATTCCAAAGTTTCGTTGCGAAATGTTGTAAAATGCGGATAATATAGCCTTGCGAAGTTTGCAATTTTCAGTCATTTTAGATTACAAACGGGAAATTGATGCCCCAACACCCGATTGGACTGTCAATTTCCCGTCCGTAATACAAGATGACTGAAAAACGGCAAACTTCGCAAGGCTATATTATCCGCATTTTACAACATTTCGCAACGAAATTTTGGAATATTACTAATTTTGTGATGCTCTTTCAAGCTGTGATGAAATTATTGTCTATAGATCAAAATTTTAGTTATAAGGTTAAAGGTCCATTAGATATATAGATTGAGATCCCAAAATCCTGATATTTACTTATATTTTAAAATATTATAATTTATACCTTGAAGAAAATGGTTTGAGAAGAGCTGCGCGCCACTATACAGTCGACGGCATGTCTAAACTACCATTAAAATTTGCAGCGCGAACAAGCCGAATTAAGGACGGGACTTTTACCAAATTTCATGTGATGAAATTTTTGTCTATTCTACTAGCTTCAACTTCAATCGCACTTCCTATATATAGCTATGCCGTAGGCGTCTGAATTTTAATAGAATTTTAATAGCCCACTGCAATTAACCTCCACCGCATTGTCATTAGGGAGCTTTAGATTTGACTACGAGTACGAGATTCGTCAAGCTAAACGCATGCTGTATGCTTACGCCATCCCGTACCGACGCTAAAAAGTCGTAGCCGTCGCCCATCTGAGTACGAAATTGTGGAGAAACCTCGTAGTCCCCACGACGACTTTTCAAAAAAAAAACAAAGAACGTTGGCTTTTTTTGTTTTCCAAAAATAATTTGTAGCATTTATATAGCGTTTATCCGGCTCAAATAATATATTAGTACTAAATATCTGGCCTTTTTTTCATGTTATGACTTATTTACACGTTTTGTAGGGGATTTTAATCAGCAGGAGATTTAGTTTATGAAACTTTTTCTCTCGTTGTTGATTTACTGTTATAAAAGCTACATTTGAATGGAAACGAGAACGACTACGGTAACTTCCTCGCACGCGATCAAATCTCGTACTCGTAGTCGTACTCGTAGTCAAATTTAAGCTCCCTATTAGGAAACTTTAGCAGCGACTACGAGTACGAGTTTCGTCAAGCGAAACGCATGCAGTATGCTTACGCCATCCCGTACTGACGCGAAAAAGTCGTAGCCGTCGCCCATCTGAGTACGAAATTGTGGAGAAATCTCGTAGTCCTCACGACGACTTTTCAAAAAACCAAAGAAAGTTGGCTTTTTTTTGTTTTCCAAAAATAATTTGTAGCATTTATATAGATAGCGTTTATCAGGCGCAAATAATATGTTTAGTACTAAATATCTGACTTGTTTTTAATGTTATGACTTATTCACACGTTTTGTAGGGGATTTTAGTCTGCAGGAGTTTGGTCTCGCACGCCATCAAATCTCGTTCTCGTACTCGTAGCCGCTGCTAAAGCTCCCTATTATAATGATCATTGGCATTGCGACATTGTATTTCCTTCGTGTTCAACTTTTTTCAAGCTTCATAAAAATTGTCCGTTGATAGTATATAACCCAGACTAAACTTTGCTCTTTAGCATGCATTATTAAATTGAAGTTTCTTTTTGTTAATTTTGATGTTCATATCAGTAATTTTATAGCTTTTCAAGCATTTTTTACAGCGGTTCAAAAAATCACAGTCCGGTGGATAGCGCTATCCGCGGCCTTCGTTCAACCCGCCCATGACAAATATTTAGCCATTCTTATGATAACTACTAGAAGGAAATGAGACAATCAGAAGGAAATGACTGGAAATGAGTAAAATTGAAATGTTATTAAGACTGCGGCGATTCTTTTCAAGTCTTAATATATATCCTCTGATCGCAAGAACCCTTAAACAATAGCAATCTGCAGGATAAGTTCTTTGTTGGGATTTTACGTTCCTTTCGCACCTTTCTACTCGTAAGCCTGTATCTTCATGTAAATGGTCAAAACTTTCGATCTGTAAACTGGATCTAGGTTATTTAGATAAATATTCGCTGGGATCAAAAGCTTTACGAAAGAAATATTATATAGACAAACCAATCAATTCAATCTCCAGGAAGGCGTGAAAAATTAAGTAATTTAATGAGTTGCATGTATTTCGTTTAATTTGTCCCAAATATTTTTATCACTTCATTTTCACCTTTTCTAATTTGGATGCATTTTATTCACAAAAACTGGCAAAAATTCTCAGCGACTATACTCTTCCTTTCATACTTATATAGCTTTAAAATCCATGCATGAAATTTAGTGAAAGTCCCGTCCTTAATTCGGCTTGTTCGCGCTGCAAATTTTTAATGGTAGTCTAGACATGCCGTCGACTGTATAGTGGCGCGCAGCTCTTCTCTTCAAACCATTCTCTTCAAGGTATAAATTATAATATTTTAAAATATAAGTAAATATCAGGATTTGGGGATCTCAATCTATATACCTAATGGACCTTTAACCTTATAACTAAAATTTTGATCTAGACAAAAATTTCGTCACAGCTTGAAAGAGCATCACAAAATTAGTAATATTCCAAAGTTTCGTTACGAAATGTTGTAAAATGCGGATAATATAGCCCTGCGAAGTTTGCCGTTTTTCAGTCATTTTGCATTACAAACGGGAAATTGATAATCAGATGATCAAACTGATTATCAATTTCCCATTTGTAATACAAAATGTCTGAAAAACGGCAGACTTCGCAAGGCTATATTATCCACATTTTACAACATTTCGCAACGAAACTTCGGAATATTACTAATTTTGTGATGCTCTTTCAACCTGTGATGAAATTTTTGTCCAGGCTGGTCTAGATCAAGTTAGATCGAAATTTCACTTAAAAGGGGAAAGGTCTATTGATGAAGGATTTTTGTATTAGACGGAAATCTCGAGGTTTTTAGACCTATAACCAGGAGCAGCTGCAAAAAATGTAACTATGTTGGTCTTCTGGCAGGAATCGAACTTGGGGACATACAGGTACATGTTACAGTTTGAAGTTTCGAATTTCAGTTCGAAGAGATTTCCTGCTTACACACAGTTCTCTAAACGAGGCTTTTGGGGAGGGTGTTGATTGTCTAGAACAACCCAGTTACCACCGTGATCTTTTTTGTAATTCTTCTAAATCCGAGGGCGGGGGGATGCCTAAAAAGATGATGCCCATAGTTACAGCATAACAAAATTGGAACATGAAATATACAA